GTTGTTCGGAGTGGGCGGCAGGGTGGTGCGTGTGTACGTGTGTCTGTGTGTAGATACGCGGAGCGGTTATTTTGCTGCGTTACGAAGCCCGGCCACCCGAGTTCGGCTCCCACTCAGGGCCAACTCCGGTGACGATTATCTGAACCGGTCCCGGACCCCCCCTAGGTCGACTCAGTCTCAAATGAGTCAGGATCAGAATCTCATACCGGAGGAGTCCGATGAGCTATAAAGCTCCTTTCCACAGATGTCCAGTGAAGTACCTGGCGCGGTGTGTAACCGTCACCACTCGGGAGACAAAGGCGGTCGGGCGTGGTGCTACCCACCCACCCTCTCGTGCGCCTTCACGGCCTTCATAGGTGCTGCTACTTGCCCCAACAGTCTGTTGAGGCTACACGGGGGTGGAGGAGGAACCTTTGGATGGGGAGGTGCCGGGCGGGGCGCGCGTGTGCGTGCGTGCTTGCATTTCTGGGGGAGTGGAGGGAGGAGGGCGTTGTTGTGTCTAACATACCAGCGACACGAAAAAAAAATGTCTCGTCCAACTGTTTGTTTTAAGTGGCGGAGGCAACGGTAGAAATGCCTGTGGTCGTGGGTTTGGACCTCCTTCTTGCTCGCACCCCGAGTCTCGCCCCAGCACTCACCACGACACTCACCCCCTCCACCTTAGCCCCCACCGCCCCCACGTCTCACCCCCCGCCTCCCCACCCACCCCCACCAGCACGGCTCGCCACCCTACCCTCTGGCTATTTAGAACTTGCTCGCTTCTAATTTGTGGCCTGGGGTTGGGGGAGTTGGAGGAGTTGAGGAGGAAGGGGGGGGGGGCGACGTAGGAGGCGGGGGGGGGGGGGCTTTGGGGGAACCTCTCGGATGCGGGGAGTCTTCAGCTTGCCGGGTGGTGTGGTGCTACGGAACATTGTGGGGAATCAAATGTTGTGAGTAAAACCGACTTCTCTGCTGTCTTCCACGGGCAAGTAAGCGGCTTCCTTTTTCTTCAGTCTTACCCTAGACGCTCTTGCAAACGGGTTGTTCCCGTTTTAAGGGACTATCCCGGTAAGATGTGCCAATCAAGTGCATTGGCCTTACAAGACGTAGGTGCCCACACTCAAATGCAATGCCAACCTCTGGATTGGTTTCGACCTTCCGGGTCCCATCAGCAGAGTCGGGTGTCGTTACTGGCGAGTTCCCCCTCTCGACGCCGCGGGCAATGCAGCCCCTGCAGCGGGCGAGTTCCCCATTGGTCGGAGCGCAGTAGCCTCGGGAGGCTTCGGGCCGGCCGCTCGTGAATGTTGTGCCCCAGCTTTACTTCCTTCTTATTTCATTAAAAATCCTCTCTACAAACGGGGGAGGGGGGGTGCGGAGAGATTGCGGGGTCAAGCAAAGAGTATCCTTGAGCGCGGTGTGACGTCCCGCGGGTACGTTCAAGCAGAAGGATTCGGAAGAAACCGAGCATAGACAGAGATCTCTCAGCCTTGGACGTCCGCGTGCGGTTTTCCCGGGCCTTCCTTCTTGCCTTCAACATTTCTTGAGCTTCTTGATTTGGCTGATGTCGGCGCCGGAGACAAGAACCGCAGCAGCTTGGCAAGAGCGACTTCTGCTGCGTGGAATGTCGCCCCTCCGTCGGACAAACATCGATCCTGCCTAGCTGTTCGGGCCCCTCCGGTGATTGTCCTCGGTGATCGGCGTCTTCGGCCCAAAAACTTGCGAACGAGACTGCAGAAAAAACACGAGGTCGTCAGTACGGCACCGCGGGTAGCCAAAAATTTAACCGATTCTCGATGGAACCCGTGAACCCGCGACCGTGACATTTCTACTGAGTCGCGGGGTCATGGCAGGGCACACGGCGACTTGCCTGGCAGCGTGGGAGTGCAACGCTCATGGCGGTGACGCCAATGGAACCTCCCGTCGCGTAAACACAGCCGCTACGGAGAGCGCATCGACGCGCCGCGGTGTGTCCTTCGCTGCGCCCAGCTGGACGCATTCGTAGGTCGTGTTTCCCGATCTATTTTGAATTTTTTACTTTTAAAAGCCAGGCGGCTGTAGTTGGTGACTGTTTGAAGTCCTAAAGCGACCGCGTCCCGCGCGTAGGAGTGCGCTGGCGCCGTCACGCTATCGCCCCCTCGTCGCTCAGCATGGCCGGTTCCTCGCTAGCGGTGTCCGTTGCACGCTGCAGTCGTCCGCCGGTGCCGTCAGGGCACGCGTCAGTTGCGATGGACCGCTGGGTGACCAATAGATGACAGTACAGAATCCAGCCTTGTACGCATGGGGGATTTCTCCAGGGTTCACCACGACACGATGCCAAAATCTCGTTCGTGAAATGGTCCAAACTTCCCAATGTTTGCAAGGCCCTCCCAAAGCCCCTTAGGCTGGGGGTGAAAGGAATTGCTGACATCACCTCGCGTAGGTTTGTGACCGTTCATCGATTCATTGTTTTATCACCACGCAAGAAAGGTCACCATGAGCGGGATGTGCTTGTGCAGAGACGGGCACGCGAATGTGGGACACTCTGTTGTAATAAAAACAAATTGCTGGATTCCGTCTCTTAGCACGGCTGTTTCCCTCCATCGCGTGCATTCCGTGCGGGCGTCCTCGTCACGAGCTCCGATTCGCCATGCGATTGCAGATGTGGGGGTCTGGCTGTGGCTGCGCCTGAAACCCCCAGGAGACACGGCCATGGTCCACGGACTGCCAGTGGCTCGCAGGCGTCGGCGGTGGGAGAACGCCCAGGAGATGTCGCAACGGCGCGAGTCCACACCTCGCTAGGTGCCAATTCACAGCAGTTAGGTTTATGGCGGTAGCTTTCTGAAAATGGTTTACGAAATCGCGCGCAAAATTTGCCAGGAATTTTCCAGGCCGCAGCAGCTGCATGGTCGGTTATGTTCGAGAGTTCCGTGCGAGTTAAGCTTGTTGTGCGCGGGTTGGTCATGGTTAGGGTGGCACTGCGCCATGAACCTTGTAACCCGAGTTGATATCTGACTTGGGCCTGGTCGATCCACCTAACCACCGCACTGACCAGCCAAACAACACCCGTTACTGAAATGGCATTGAGGAGGCCCTCATCCAGAAGTGGATTTGACAAGGCTCGGTAAATGATTATTATTGTAACGTGATTAGTTTTGCTGTCACAACGTTTCACTCTGGCCACACCCTTAAAGTTGCTCCCGCGGAACTAATTGCGGTTAGCTTGTGTGGGTGTTGTTCGCCAGGGTGAGTACTTTCCCAGGTGAGTACAGTCACCCCAGGTGAGTGATTAGGCCAGGTGAGTGTGGTCTGGTGTGGGATCGCGGTTGGCCCAGTTGGTGGAGCTTAGCCCTCTTCCTACGCTCCATTCAGTAAACACATTGCATCATTTCAGCTGCCTTATATTTAGAACAACCAATGCCATAATCATCACGGGCCACGTTTTGTCCACTGCTGGATGAAGACAACCCTTTTCTTAATTCCTTTAAATTTAAATTCATATTCTTAGTTCTTTCGGTAAAGTCACGTTGAAGGGAAACAATAAAATAATAAAATATATATAACAATAACAATTCTCACGACGTTCGAGATTTTTGCTCACTCGGTGAAGGTGAAATTGCCAAAGCGCCAATTCTCATCTGTTGCCCACCACATCCAGTATACCTTCAGCTCTGCACCACCTACTCCAGTCTACCACTGACCCACAAATACAGTTCAGTGAGAAATTAAGTCCCGCGTGTGCTGACTTGGTGGGCTTGCAACTGTTTTTGCTCTTGTTATTGTTGCTACTGTTGTTGCCATTGTTGTCGTTACCATTGTTGTTGCTATTGTTGTTGATGCTGACACGCGGTACTCCCCGGGTCGTGAGGTCACTCGCCTGAGACGGGGCTCACCTTTGGACTCCGCACCTGAGCCTCCCGTTTAGGCCCTCGCGGCATAAACGCTGCTGCATCATCCTCTCCCACGTTCGCTTGCCAATCGCTCCGTCGTCTGATGGCCGCGACTTCATTAATCGAACCAAAAATTTCACTTTCAAAAATACCCAGGTCTCCCTGGGTGTTGCGTCTCATGTTTGTTGATCGATTACATTTTTCCAGACATGCTTTGTTTGCAGAAGGCCATTCATCACATGACATGGACAGTAGCAGGAGGTTCTGTGGGGCATGTTTTGAGAATCTTCCTGTTAGGGACATGCATACCATATTTTATGACACGATTGCACTTTGCCTGTGCCACACACCGTGTCGGTCATGGGGCTTACTTGACCGTACTTCACCGCACTGATCGGCGCGGGTTTATGAAGTTGTCCCGCGACCGGTTCAGATGTCACTTTATAATTTGGGCGCAAAAAAAATAACAACCTCCGGGTCGAGTGATTCCAGAAGTAGTCGTGTGGTGTCGTGTTGTGGGGGCCCTTCACTGGCACGGGACGTCACGTCCAGCTGATGCAGCCAAGAGAGCTCCAAATGTCAACACAGCGATTACCCCACAAAGCCACCACCACCAACCACCCATCCCACCACCATTCTGATCGCACTTTAATGTGGTCTCTCGTGTTTCCCGACGCCCACAGACAGCAGCACAGGTGTGTCCTTTTTCTTCCTGTGCCCGTGATGGCCTCGCCTCTTCAGAATGAAACCCGCTCGGTGTGTTCCCCGTGATGCGCAAGCGGCTACTGTTTGGGGAGGGCTTCATCCAGCAGTGGAGTAATCATGGCTGTTGAAGAAGCTTACAATATGATGAGATTGATAGTAAGTTGATGCTTGGTAACTAGTAACTGATGATAATATTAAGATGATGTAAGGAGGTGATGATGATAATGATATAAAAATGATGATGTAAGGAGTTGATGATGATGATAGCCATATTAAACTGATGCATAGGAAATGACCACGATCACGATAATGTTCAGCAGATAACGATGGTGATGATATAGTTGGCATAGTTGGTCGACGGCGTTGCCGAGATTCCCGGGAGGCGACGGCGACGCGGCGGCACCGCCTGAGCGTCCGCCCCTCTCTCTCCATCCCTCCACGCTCGCGCAGAGGTTCCGCCCGGCTGCCTGGACGTGGTGTGCGAGGACCAGCCGCCGCCGCCCGTGTGCCCCATCGACTCGGCGCTGCGCCTGGGCCACGTCCCGCTCGGCGAGTGCTGCGCGCTGCCCTCGCGCTGCGAGTGCGACCCGGCCCGCTGCACGCTGCCCGACTGCCCCCGCGGGGGCGTGCGAGTGCTCGTGGCAGAGGCCCAGCGCACGCCCGGCCGCTGCTGCGACCTCCACGTCTGCGCTCCGCGGTCCGACGGTGAGCCGGGAGCGGCGGGCCTGCGGCGCGGCGGTTCCCGCCGGGATGTTGCACCCCTGCCACGAGTGCCGATCCCTCTGCTGCGGGTGATCGGGCCATCGTATGACATGTTGGCTTTTGGTGGTCGCTCTGACTGTGTGGGGGGGGGGGGGGGGGGGCGGACACTCTAACTCTTGGGGAGTAGTTCGACGCGGTGCATTGTCCGCTCGCGACCCTCGCGACCCCCACCGTCTCCACGCTCCACCTCTACGCAATGACGAGTCCTTGATAAACGTGCGCAAATGAAGCCCAGTGGTCGCGGCAGGTGCCCGAAGGTGATTGGCTATCACGGACGTTCGTTTACGCACCGCGGGGACACTGACCCATGGGGACTCGCGCGACAATTGTCAATCCTGCTCCCAACGCACTCGTCCTCCCCCCCCCCCTCCCCCCGTTGGAACCCTTCACTCTGGTGAGGCTTCGTGGTCAGCACGAAGAGGGAGCGGAGTTCACAGGTGGAGCTCCCGTGGACGTGTTTGTGATGCCTTGGTTGGTCGTTCTGGGTGCGCGATCGTGCGCGATGAAGAACGGTCGTTGTCTAAAACTTCACCAATTACTACGTAGAGTGTCTGTCTTTATTTTAAGCCCGCACAAGTGTTATTGACGAACGTCGTTGAGTTTGTTTCTGAGTGGGAGGTTGTCCTATGCTTATTGAAAGTTCTCCACGCTTTGTTGCAATCACATGACGGAGCTGTCACATAGTTATTTTAGGAGGTTAAACGCTGTGAAGGAGCGCAACCCGAAGTGTACGAAAGAAACACAGAGACCTCCTCAGTCCTTTTTTTTTTACTTCCAGTACTTAAAATGTTTTGGGCAGTTGTAGAAAATGAGATCAAGCGCCAATGTGTATACGATGGGTTTCTTGGCAGCCAGGGATAAACAGAGGCCACCCTTTCAAAACTGCCAATGCCGGACTGTGGCAGGAAAAGCCAAAAAAACAGCGCACAAAGATTCCTTGTCTAATTTCATCTTCTCCCACAGAGGAAGCAGCGCGCTCTCGGCATGCGCATGTTGATTCCCGTTTCACATTCATGGCCGCCGCTAATCGGGGGGATGGATTTTAATAGATTGAGGAGGTGCACTTCATCCTACACCCCAAACCTCCTAACCGGCCCCCATCCTCATAACCACCACCACCACCACCCACCCCACACCAGCACCCGACAGGACCCCACATGGCTCTCAGAGAACCGCTCGCGCGGACGCAAGCTCGCACATTAAACAAACGCCCACACGCGCCGTCCCGTACAACTGTGTTTACTCATCGCTGGGTCAAAGGTGAAATGGAAAAGGCGCAGCCCTGCAGTGTCTCGCTCCCGCCACTGCTGACAGAAGGGCCAGGCCCAAGTCAGAGACCACCCCCCCCACCTCCACCCTACCAGGGAGTATTTTGGCCCTCTATTCCGCGCTGGCCAGATGTCTCGGAAGTCGTGGAATTTACCCACACTTTACCCCACTGTATGCGAACCTTCCGATCGACTGTGTATGCGGTGAGCCCCTTTACGTTGCTTGACGGGGATTTGAGAAACTTGCCCCGTTGTTTCAACTGCCACGCCGAGAGGTCGAATCTAGCGGCTGTCACACTTGGAATTACCCACACGGCTGTGTGTGTGTGTTTGGCGTGCGCATAGCACGAAGGTGGAGCAGCGACACAGTGATTAGTGCACTGCGCTCTGAAGCTAGCGATCAGAATTAAATTCCCAACCATGGCGAGTGATCTCTCAAATTGTTTTTGCTCTGATTTCTCGTCGCTTCATTGTCATACTTTTTTTGTACGTTATTGCTCTTTGTCATTTTAATGACCCCGGCCACGCAAGCAAATACAAACTATTCTGGGCTCTTGAGTTCTCATCCCGGGCGTGGTGTTTAAACATCGGCACTGGAAGAGAAAAGGGCGGCCCTGGGGGGTGGCGGTGTTGGCCACAGCACCGCCTCACGTGAGCCCTCGCCCCCAACAGTCCGTGTCGGCTACATGGGGGGATCTTTGTCTCTGTAGCGCGAGGACGGACGTGCATCCCTGAGGATTGCCCCCCGGTGCCCGAGGTGACGTGTCCCCCCGGCAGCTTCGTGGCGTTGGGCACCGAGAGCCATGATGGCTGCTGCCTGCTTCCCGCGCGGTGAGTTCCGCGTCCGCGGCCCGTCTCTCGGCTCCCGAGAGCAACGAGCTCGGGCCTACGCTAGGCTTTCGGATTAAATGTATTTTACATGCCGGTGATCAGCGAAATGGGCTGATGTCTTTCACGTAACCTGTTGCAAAAGAGGCTGTAGTGGTTCATGTTTCGCACGTGGCTTGACGTCATTTCCCCTGGTTAAATAAAGCATTCGATGACCCATTTTTGGTGGCTGAAACCTGGAACCCAATCCGGGTGGCTCAGTTCCGCAATTCGTGAGCCACCCAGGCCACCGTTCGCTCGGCGGCCCTGTTCCCGGGCGCGCATGTCGCTGTACGGTGGTGACCTTATTGTGCCGTGACGCCCGTCCCCCCCCCCGCTCCCCCACGTGCCTCCTCTAGGTGTGAGTGTCCCGTGCTGTGCGAGAAGCCGACGTGCGACGCCGGGATGGTGCTGCGACTCGTCGCCCACGGCAACGGCAGCGTGGAGAGCTGCTGCGACGAGTACGAGTGCGCCAACGGTAAGGGGCCGCCGCTGGGCGGGCAACGCACAGCAACGTACGGCAACGCTCGGCAACACTCGGCAACGGAGCCATGCTGTCTGCGGCGACGGGAAACTGTACGCGTGCAGATCTTTGAAAAATCTTCTGGCCTGAAACTCAGCTCTGGAAATTCCACGTCCTGATAGTGGGGGCCAATCTATTCGTAGGGCAAGTCCTGCTTATTTCCCACAGAACGGTTCTGATGGGACTTTAGTGGTGATGTGACGCAGTGGACACATGCACAGCCCCTGTGCTAATCCACTGCTGGATGAGCACCTTCCCATGCTGTGTGGGTCATGGGGATTACGCAATCGTACTTTTACCAGGCTGGTCAGTGTGGGTTCGTGAAGGTGGCGAGCATAGACATTGGAGCAAAGCACAGTGCAACGATGGATTTTTACGCACTACCCTCTGCTGACTACTTAGTCTCGCAGCAGCCTATAACAGCTGTTATGCACGATGGTAAGCCCCACCCTAGCACAAGTCATGCTCAACACTGCTCGGCTTCTGAGATTTGATGAGATGGGGGGGGGGGCGCATTCCGGGTGACTTTGACATCATCCGGCAAATGAGCGTCCCATACCTTCCACTCTTCATGACTAATTGCTGCTACGATAAAATTCGTTTGTTAATTATTTCACGAGAGTATCGATGTAGATACTCTTAAGCGCACTCTAAAGTTATTGTTGAGGCTAGTTCGAAGGTGAGTCCAAAGGTCAAAGGTCGGGCTTGGGTTCGTTGCCTGTCTATTTTTCTTAGTTGGGGCATCGTTCGGGAACCTTGGGTCTGTTACATGAAACGTCCCGGGGTGATATTTTCCCCTCGCGTTGCGTGACGCACGGGGACGCTTCGCTTGAGGAGCGTTACACAGCTGGGCACTCGCTGCCCGGTGACGTCGGCGTCATTACGATTTCTCACATTGGTGGACCAGCGGCCACGGTTTGACGACCCGTGCGAAAATAACCACGACGCCAACCCGCGCGGATACAAGCCGTCCCCGCCGGCGACGAACTGGCCTGGGCCAGGGAGTAGAGGGCGAGCGACCGAGCACGGAGTCGTGTTGGGATCACCGCTTGGCACGGCGCCCAGGCACAACGCGAAATTTTAAGAGAGACGCGCAACCAAAAATAAAAGGCCGCACGGTTCCGGCAGGCCGCCGTGGTGCTTGGACGTGTTTGCACAGGATGCTGCTAAAATCCGGTGGGCGTGCAGGGGGGGGCCCCGGGGCCGCTCCCCGGGGCGCACTCTCCCTCCGCTCGGCGTCCACACGCTCGGCCCAAGCTGTGACTTGCAGCTGCTGGGGGGGTTTTTGTTTTCTTTTTTTGAGCGCCCCATGTCCAGCTGCCAGTTGTGCGCACGTATTTCCTCCCCGTACGTCAACAACAACAACAATAACGGTGGTGGCGGTAGCGGCATTGTGAGGTTCCCTTCCAGGGACGGGGTCCCGCTACGTCGGGGGGGGGGGGGTGGGGCGAGGTTTGATTCGTTTGGCTTTGTGTGCGGCGAGACCGGAGAACCCGGGGAAAAGCCACCGCCCGCACGACGGGGATAGCGCTTGTATATCCACGCAGCCAGGACAGCGAGACGCTCGCTGGCGCCACCATTGACCGATCGCGTCGTAGCCGAGTCGGCGGAGGGGGTGTCGAGCGAACCGCTGGCCCCGCCGACGAGGCACCGGGTCGCTGGCATGCACCGACGCGGGGGCGGGGGGATGGGGGGCTGGCAGCTGGGTGTGCTTTGTGGAGGTGGTGGCACCGGTCCCCGCCGGAGCCTCTGCTCTGCCTCTCTGATGCAACGCTTTGTCCCCGAGCGCGTCCAGGACATTGGCAGCGATGTTGAGCTGCACAGATCTTTCGTTTAAATCATTTAACGAAATATCCCGTTTTACTTTCGTTATTGAAATAACAAAAACCGTAACGGGATAGCCGCGCACGCACTGTTATTAGCTCAGCCGTGTAACACATCGGAGGTTTGCTTAAGGGATTATTTTATTATTTATTTTTAGTTCACGGACCCTAAATCTCCAGGGCCAATTTTTTTTCTGTTCATTGGCACACTTCCACTTTCCTTCCTGCACATTTTTTTAAAAGGGTTTTATTGGCACATTTAAAATCAGAACAAAAAAATATAGCGGAAAGATGTTTCAATAAAAATAATGATGTCATCAGCCGCTCAGCGTTAGCGGGTGGCCCCCTGCCAAGGGAAGCGTTCACTTTAGGCCCTGTTTCGTGGATTCGTGTAAATCTCGGCGATCATTCACATCTGCTCCGGTAGATCGGAGATGCTTACGCCCCATGCCGCTTGGGCAGCAATTGAACATCAGAGACATTTTTGTTGCAATTCGTGGGTGGCTTGGCTCTGGGTAGAGGGCCTCGACGTGAGTGATGGATCAATTGAGGAAGAGCTGTTTTTGTAAATGGAATTCTCCACCCTGATGCGATTTTACACACACTTACATTGGGGCGTATTTACGAAGAAATCGTGCTCTACAGCCTTCGCTAGGTGGGAGGTCGCTCATTCTTCTCTGCGGCCTTTTTAGCCTCCACCTCCCTCCCCCAGTCGTCCAAGCGATCAACTCCTTGCTCCTGTTTAACCCAAGGCTTAAGAGTTTCCGTTTCCTCTGTCCGTGACAGACTGCCTCTTTATTCATATAAGATCTCGATCAAATTATTTTGAGCCACACAGCTCTCCCAGGTGGTCTTCTGAGATGCGGTGACACATGGACGATGCACGATTCCCACCCCTCCTGTGCAGTACAGTGCCAGTTGTGAATTTTCAATAAGAAAGTACCGTGCACAAAATATGTCGCACATTGGTGGCTTTGCGCCCCATGCGCGCTCGTAGCACTGGGTCGGTTTGTGGCCGTCTCCCCCGAGAAGGGGGGGGGGCTCGCGTGTGACGGTCGCGATTTGGTAAGGCTACGGCGAGTGGTCGAGATTTGGTAAGGCTACGGCAAGTGGGTGGCGTGCCGAGAACGCACAAGAGTGCGCTTTCTAATCGCAGGCAGCCGCACGCGCGGGAAGCAAAAATATATAGTGGAGGAATAAAGTGCATCGGCCACGCCAAATATAAGCCTCGTCAACAGACGAGCCTCGGAAAATAGGCGGCGCCGAGGAATGTTGCAGCAGGGTGGCAAACCAGAGACGTGTGTTCACTCCGTGTCGGCTCACGGGCCGGAAACGTCGAGCGGTGCCACGCTGCGGCCGCTCGAACCCGCGGAGGGGTCGAGCGGCCTCGATCGCGCCGAGAGGTGTCAACGTCACTTCACCCCCCTCTCCCCCTCCCCCCTCCTCACGTGCGTCTCCTCCTCGTGACACGTGCGGAATGGATAATGTCTTCGTGGCTTTTGCGGGGAGAGGGGGTGGCCGGTGCTCTTTAGGGGCCTCGCTTCTCAAGTGAGTGACCGTGACTCCGGGGTGGGGGTGGGGGGGGGGGGTATAGGTTGGGTGCGACCCGTTAGGGGGCGTGGCGATGAGTCCCCGCTGTTTTGCTCTGGACATCCCGTTGGGACTTGACGGCCCCCCCCCCCCCCCCCGATCACTTCGTACCCCGTGGCTCTCGGTTCACTTTTATAACACACCTCGGTCGCCTGCGTGAGCGGTGCACGCTTCACTTGGCTGCACACCGGCGCCGGCTAAATCCTTGCAGTGCGGCCATTAACCCCCCCCCCCCGCCCCATTTACCCCAGGCGGGCTGCCAGCATCGACCGCATCTCTTGCTTAGCACATGTTCCCCTGTTTCCCCATCCCACACCCGTCCCGCCAACCCCACCCACTACCGACCCCACTCACTGATCCCACCGCCAACTGATGCACCAACGCACCCACCAACCCCATTGCTGACTTACCCATCAACAACCCTACCACCGACCGCACCGACCAACCCCACCCACTAACCCCATCGCTGACTTACCCATCATCAACCCCAACACTAACTCACGCACCCACCAACTTCCTCCGCCGACCGACCCACCAAACCCCATCGCTGACTCACCCACACACCAACCAACCCACCAACCCCACCACTAACCCACCCACCCACCCGCCGCCCCCTGCAGACACGAGGTCGTCGTGCACGTTTAACGGGATGGAGCACGCGGACGGGGAGATGTACCGCATGGACGCGTGCCGCTTCTGCCGCTGCCACAACGGCGTCTCCTTCTGCTTCTCGGCGCAGTGCGGCGCGCTCGCGTGCCAGCGCTACTACGTGCCCGAGGGCGAGTGCTGCCCCGTGTGTGAGGGTGAGTGCTGCCCCGTGTGTGAGGGTGAGTGCTGCCCCGTGTGTGAGGGTGAGTGCTGCCCCGTGTGTGAGGGTGAGTGCTGCCCCGTGTGTGAGGGCGAGTGCTGCCCAGTGTGTGAGGGTGAGTGCTGCCCCGTGTGTGAGGGTGAGTGCTGCCCCGTGTGTGAGGGTGAGTGCTGCCCCGTGTGTGAGGGTGAGTGCTGCCCTGTGTGTGAGGGTGAGTGCTGCCCCGTGTGTGAGGGTGAGTGCTGCCCTGTGTGTGAGGGTGAGTGCTGCCCCGTGTGTGAGGGTGAGTGCTGCCCCGTGTGTGAGGGCGAGTGCTGCCCCGTGTGTGAGGGTGAGTGCTGCCCCGTGTGTGAGGGTGAGTGCTGCCCCGTGTGTGAGGGTGAGTGCTGCCCCGTGTGTGAGGGCGAGTGCTGCCCAGTGTGTGAGGGTGAGTGCTGCCCAGTGTGTGAGGGTGAGTGCTGCCCCGTGTGTGAGGGTGAGTGCTGCCCCGTGTGTGAGGGTGAGTGCTGCCCCGTGTGTGAGGGTGAGTGCTGCCCTGTGTGCGAGGGTGAGTGCTGCCCCGTGTGTGAGGGTGAGTGCTGCCCAGTGTGTGAGGGTGAGTGCTGCCCCGTGTGTGAGGGTGAGTGCTGCCCCGTGTGTGAGGGTGAGTGCTGCCCCGTGTGTGAGGGTGAGTGCTGCCCCGTGTGTGAGGGTGAGTGTGCTGCCCTGTGTGCGAGGGTGAGTGCTGCCCTGTGTGTGAGGGTGAGTGCTGCCCTGTGTGTGAGGGTGAGTGCTGCCCCGTGTGTGAGGGTGAGTGCTGCCCCGTGTGTGAGGGTGAGTGCTGCCCCGTGTGTGAGGGTGAGTGCTGCCCTGTGTGTGAGGGCGATTGCCGGCACCGCATCTCAGTCGGCCGGAGCTGTGTGAGGCTGAGATCCGGAAAATTCTTCCCCTGCCATCCCCCCCCCCCCCGCTCATCTGGTGTCTTGGGGGGAGGGGAATGAACCCCTGTTGAGAGGCCATCACTAGTCGTTTGGGATCAGCCGTTGGTTTCCACAAGCCGTGGTGTGGCCGATTTCTGTGGCGCCGATGTTCAGGAGACGGGACGCCGTTGGCAGAGCCTGCGTCGTGCGCTTTGAGAGTCGGCCTGCTCGTGTGCGGCCCCCTCGCTGACTGCGTTGGTGATCCTCTCGGTTAGCACGCGGGGCTGACCGAGTCCCTGCATTGCCTCTCTCGCTCCTACTCACTCCTCCTACGTCCTACCTAACTTCCCACTTTTTCATCATCCTTCTTGACACCCCCTCGCTCCTCTCTCCACGTCGCCCCTCCCGCACAGATCCCGTCTTCCCCGTGAGCAACCCCGCGGGCTGCTTTGCCAAGGGGCAGATCCGTGCGCACGGAGACCGGTGGCGCGAGGACGACTGCACGTTCTGCCAGTGCGTGAACGGCGAGCACCACTGCACCGCGACGGCGTGCGGCCAGAGCTGCCTCAACCCGATCCGCGTGCCGGGGGAGTGCTGTCCCGTCTGCGAGGGTACGGCACCGCCATCGCCACCCCCGCCGCCGCCATTGCCGTCACCGCCGCCGCGGCTGCCGCTGCCATCGCCACCGCCACCGCTTTCGCTGCCACCACCGCTACCGTCACTGCCGCCACGACCACCTCCACCGCTGCCACTGCCACCCATACCGCTACCATCACCGCTACCAACCCCCCGCTAGCGCTACCACCATGGCAAACCCCCATTGCCACCGCTACCACTACCACCGCTACCACTGCCGCCCCCACCGCTACCACCAACGCCACCCCCATTGCCACCCCTACTGCCACCCCCATCACTATCACCGCTACCACTACCACTGCTAGCACCACCGTCAACAGGTCAATAAGCCGGAGAGTGAATGGCGAGTGATGCGGTGTGTGTACAAATGGGTGATTTTGTTGATGATTTCATGAGTGAGTGATTTGATAGTTGAGTGAGCCATTAAATGAGTGAGTCAATGACAGGGTGAATGAGTGACAGTGTGAATGAAAGTATTAGGGTGGATGTGTGAGTAATTGTGTGGTAAAATGTGAGTGATTGAGTTATATTGACTGAATGAGTGATCGTGGATAAGTTAATGGATGATAGGCTGAGTGACAGTGATAGAATGAATGAATCAGTGAGTGAGTGAATCGGTGAATGAATGAGCAATAGATTGGATTAACGAGTGAGGTAATGGATGAGCGAGTGGGAGAATGAGCAGGTGGGTGAGTGAGCAAGTGAACGAATCAATGCATGAGTGAATGAGAGTAACTCAAGCGCAGAGCTCGCACGTAGTTCATCAAGGTTTTTCTGGTTGTACTTTGGCTTCTCGGGATAGGCTCCTGAATAAAATAGATTGTATTATTTATAGCCAGGCTGGAGCCAAATTAGATGGAAGCTAAATTAGCCCTTTTGTTTTGGGCACAAAACATTGCCTGGCTAATTCTGGATGAAGCCACTGGCTTGGGATTCACCGGAGCATTCGCAATAGTTTCCAAAGAGCGCGCGCGTACGCGCGACTGTCTCGGCGTTGCCGCTCTCTTCGCGTCGCCGGTTGCACTGACCCTCAAGAGTCCCTCGATGGGGCAGGATTTTTTAAAAAGGCCATCGGGTCCCCGCCCCCACACCCGCCCGTCAGTCCGAAAATGTTTCCAGCAGGATCTTGCCGAGTTCTGACCCAGATTTCACAGCTGGGGAGGTTTTTATTGGCAGCACGAGTGGAAACATTTTTTTGCGAGAGAAAAAAAATTGTGTGCACACACACACTCACAAACACATACACACAAGCTCACTCTCGCACACGCTCACTCGCACAGTCACTCACACGCCCATCGGAAGTGCTGGGCGGAGAGCACGTACGGTGGTATCTTGTGAGTCAGAGCAGAGAGGAACAACCGCAGCAGAAGGCACGAGACATCAGGACGATGCTTGTACCCTCGCTTCCCGAATATTTGTAGCCATCGCTGGTGCCTTTTTCTTATCCGATGATCCAGCAAAGTTTCCGATGGTAAACAGCCACGGCACGAGAGCGGCCTTTTGCTCCTTGTGCTCGCTCTCCGTCGCTCTCCGTGATGCCACTGAATAAAAATGTGTCGATGCGTACTGTCCGGTGACATTGCTCAGGGGGGCCGTGGGGCGGCCGAGCCGCTGTTGACGTTCTGTGCTGGCACCGCGCGCATCAGCTCCCGGAATACAAGATGTACCGAGTTGCCACGCTCGGGGGAATTGTTGAGAGATGTGCGGTGGCGGCAGCGGCGGTAGTGGTCGCGGTAGCGGCGCTTTTGGTTTTCCCTACCGAATAGAATAGCGCGTACGCTATTTCAGTGCTGTTAATTTTGGCGCTGCCATGGGCTCGGATTGATTGAAAGGGATATGAAGGTATTTTTGAAAGTGTGTAACTCTTTCGGCCAATCCCGCGGCCAATTTCAACTGGTGGATTTTAATGAAATGCCAAAAGGCTCGAGAGCTTATTGAAAACCTACCCATCACAGGACGTAATCCCGTGGACGATATTACATTCTTGGGGCTCTCTTAACTCATAAAGTGGCCAGTCACTTGCACTATTAATTCGCTCCGGTGTGAACTCGGGTTGGCCTCGTGTTGGCGGTGGGGGCAGTGGCGGGGGGGCGCGGCGGAGGCTCCGTCCGCTCACCGCGGAGTGCGAGTGGCTCTGGATCTCGAAGGTTCCCGTCGTTTGTGTCCAGCGGTGTGGGGGGGGGGGAGCAGAACGAATGTGCTCCGCAGTCCTCCGCCTATTTCCGCGCAGGAAGTTTTAAGTGGCCGAGCCTCGGTCTCAAACCACATTCTCATAACCAACAGCAACTGCACAACACAAACAGGTCCCGTTTTTTTTTTGCATTTATAACCCGCGCCCAAATACCAGCGTTAGCGTTGGGGGGGGGGGGGGGGTAGAGAGTAATTGGACGCGCTTTATTTGGAGAGCGGCGTACAAGCGCGGGTGTGTTTTCTGTGGGCGCGCGCGTGTGTGCGTGTGTGCGTGTGTGCGTGTGTATGTACGTGCGCGTTTGTGTGCTTGTGCTTGGCTTTGGCCCAGCCACACAGCAGCAGCAGCAGCAGGGCTAAGCTGTGCCGCGTGCCTGCACACACACACACACACAGCGCATCCACGTGGGGGGCTGCGCACAGCGAGTCCACGCCTGCCGGACCGGGGGTCGTTCTTCTCAGAGCCCCTGATGATGACGTGCCGACCTTCTGGGACGATTCCTTGGGTTTATTCGCGTGCACGCCCAGCGTGCACGCCGAGCGTCGCAGTGATGTGTCGACCCGCCAACAAGATGCGGTTCTAATGCTCGTTGATTCTATTTTCCATTTTTATCATTTCTTTCGTTGTCCAAATCGCACTTAATTAGTTCATCTGACCCCTGCAGCCGTGTGAAGTGCTACATTGCCACCTCACAGGTAAAAAAAGTAATTGATTCTTTAAAAGAATCTCAGGCCATGTGAGTGGATTTTATTTAGTAATATTAAATCCACGCTTAGTAAATATAACTTTCATGACGTGCCTGCTAGGCTGGCAACATTAATGTAATGCCACGATGAGATTTGCATGTGGAATAAGTAATTAGCAACGAAAATGTGCGCGCCTTCACTTGTGTCTCCTGTGCAATGGAACGAACGCGAGACTTTGGGGTTATTGCCGCTCGTGACGTGTTTTATTTCATTTTCCAGAGCCGACGTTCATCACCATCCGCCCGCCGCTCTGCTCCCCGCTGCTCGGCTGCTCGCTCACGGACGACAGCTGCCCGTACGGCTTCTGGCTCGACTCAGACGGGTGCCGAACCTGTCGCTGCAAGACGAGTGAGTCGCGCGCGCGCCGCACCCGGCTACGGCCGGCCGCTCAGACGCCGCCGCCGCCGCGTGCCCACGGTGCCGATGACGCGACTCACGCACCCCCTGTCCCCCCGCCCCCCCCCCCGTCCCACAGAAGCGGAGCACTGCCGCAGCGTCATCTCGGGCTGCCGACTCGACTGCCCCCACGGCATGGCCACCGACCGGCACGGCTGCGAGGTGTGCCAGTGCCGCCCGCAACCCAAGAAGTGTCGCCACGTCGCCTGCGCTAAGCGCTGCCCCAACGGATACATGTGAGCGCGCCGAACCGCCCCGAACCGCCCCGAACCACCCCGTGCCGGCCGTCCCTCCGGCCGTCCGCCCAGTTAGCGGGGAACGTCGGGGAAACGTTCGGCCAACGTTGCACATTGGCCGGGTGCCCGTGTCTGTCATGTCCTGTCGAGGTGACTGGGCGCCTGCTGGTGCAGGTCCACGCGAGGGCCGGTATTTTTTATTGTCGCTTTCCTCTCCCAAAATTATATTACAGTTGTGCCATCTGTTAGGAGTCCTCTCATAGGGCATTCGAAAGGCAATTTTTCAAAACGTTATCACCGCGTAATTGATTCCACGGCATCGGGAGTCGCACGATGTGTAGCGGCCGTCGCTCCCATGCGAGGTGTGAACGCGTAGTGCGCATTGGTCGGTTACGCTATCGACAGATAGCACTTCACCACATTTCACGGTCGGGCGACGCTTCCGTTTCACGAAGCAACTGGCCGCACCTGCCGCGCGTTGTTCGAATGAAGCAAAACGTTGCATTCTCGTACGTGGAAAAATCCAAGTGAAGTGACAAAAACCAAGGTTAATGATAACATTGGTATCTGTTGATGACTGGGCTGAGATAATGGGCTCACCACACGACCGTAAAACCCGATGTAATCACGGACGGCCAAACCTCGGATTTAAACCCCGGATCTCCGCGGTGCCTGGGCTGGCGTGGCTGTTGACTGCGCATCGATGCCCAGCGAGCCACGCGGCTGCCCCTTGACCTCCACGGCGTGCGTGGTGCGTTTGCGATCCGCAGCAAGAACAAGCACGGCTGCGACAGCTGCCGCTGCGTCAAGTGCCCCGACTTGGTGTGTGACAAGTTCTGCCTCCACGGCTACGCGGAGAACGGCAAGGGCTGCCTGCTCTGCAGGTGCAAAGGTACGACGTGGATTTCACCACGAGGGGACGACGCGGATTTTGCAGTGCCGTGTGACGACCGTGACGAAATCCCTCGCGTCTCCGATGGGAGACGCCGCGGCGCCAGGTTGCGACGCATCATCGGTCGACGCCCCGGGGTCTGCGACCCACTGGACCCTCCGCGCCACGTGGGTTGTGGAGGTTTTTTGACCATACCGCGCCACGCTGGTCGGCGCGGGTCGGCGAAGGCGAGAGCACGATGCCGGGTTCGAATTGGGGCAGCCGCCCGTGACCAAACAAGGTCTCTCAAGATGTAGCCAGTCTACGGCCTCGATCCCCGGTAACCTCCGAATTCTTTTTTTTTTTCCAGTCGCGCCAGGGCCGCCGGCGCCGCCGGTCGCCACCGGCTCGTGCACGTCGATGGACGGGCGGCGCTACGCCGACGGGGAGAGCTGGCACGACGGCTGCCGCGACTGCTACTGCCAGGGCGGGCGCGAGATGTGCGCGCTCATCGCCTGTCCTGTGCCAAGGTGCCCCACGCCGGAGTTGCGCCAAGGACACTGCTGCCCAGCTTGCGCCGGTACGGTCGCCGAATTCCGGTAACGCTCACTTTGGTCGTGCGCCCCCGTGGCCGGCGGCGCCGCGGGACACGTCGTCGTTATTGCGACGACGTGTCGGACGTCTCTCGGCACAGAAATACGAGGGAAGGGCGGTGGGGGAACGGGGGATGGACGGAGCGAGAGAAGAGGTGGTAACGGAAACGCGGGGATTGTAGAGGAAGGCTTGAAAAGCAGGAGAGGGTGGTGGATTGCATTGCCTTGGGAAGGGAGCTCCAGAAGGAGGGAGGCATAGTGGCCACCAATAGTGAAGCCAATGGTCCTGGGAGCAAGGACGAGGCCAGGCAGGAGGAGCCTATTGCCAGGCCTTTAAAACAAAGAACAGTTCCACAATGAACAGACTGTTCAAGACTCTCACAGAGCGAGTGCGCCGCACGCTTCGCGTTCGAGAACGGACTGCGGAAGTGGACATTGCAGAGCTACTCGTGAGATCCCTTTGAGTGACCTCTGATCCACACTGTAGGTGGGCATCACATTCCCAGGCCGATTGAGAGCAATGATCATCGCATGGCAGTCAATCCGATGATTAAAAATTTTCGGAGTTGGAATGTTGTGACCTAATTGAGTGTCATGGTGGGTTTTTTTTTTTACATCATTGGTAACTGAGCTGCGACCATCAACTCGCTACGCTGGAGAAACCAGTTTACGGACGAATAAATACAACACATCCGTCAATAACACTGCGGCCTAAATATGAAAATATATTAAATAGGCAACAGTCGGGGACAATGGGCCACCGCTTCTTTACAGCACAAATTCAGAGAGGTCAGGCTAGCGACTGGCAGCTGCCTGGATTTGAACCCGCGCCCTCGGCGACGCGAGCTCGGCGGTCTGGCTCCTGGGCCGCCCGGCGGCCTCCTCGTCGTCCCGAGGCACAGCACAGGGACAAGATGCCGCTTTTTCCCCGGAGGTGCCAACCGCGACCGCGCACACGCAGAGAGGAGAGGAATTGAACTTTTAAAAAAACACCCTTGTGATGCCACGACCAAAGCGGCGTCGGTCCGAGTGGTTCACGTATCCTGACCGTGGGTTTTAAAGAGTCTGCTCAGTGTCAAGGTCGGGGACTGCCCTCGGAAACCTCAAGCAAGGCGAGAAGCTTGTTTCTTTTTTGGGGGGGCCGCAGTTTGAAACGTGTCTGGCTATAGCGGCTGCGTTGGGAAGGTCGCACGCCCAGGCCCCCCCGGCCCGGTACCCCCTTTGCGCGACCCCCCCCCCCCCCGCCACCACACAATGACAGCTCTCGCACGTAAGCCTCTCGTGAGAGGTCATCACAAAGTAGATTTCAGAGTGACTTGAATGGATTCTGATGGGCCTGTTACATGAGCCTACACACACCCGTGTCTCTTTTGCAACCCTGGGCAAGTAACCTTTGAATATTCATCGCAGCTGAATGGGAATTATTTTGTATGAAGGTAACAATGGCCGCTTTGTTTCGCGGTAAATCGTGGCATGTGCCTGATATAATGGAGGAAATCTCAAACTCCGGATATCAATTTAGTCGGGGCTCATTTGACTCCACGTTTACAATTCAGAAGAAAGGCACCGTGACTGTGATTTTGTGCGCGCATGGCAAAAAAAAAAACCCCATCAAAATGTTCCACAGAACGTTCTGGTAAACAAAAGAGGTTAAAAGTCAGCCGTGCTGAAATTTTTCTGTTCCCAAACTTCTACAGTGTTTAAATTTAGTACAAATCGTACGGGGAATTCCGTCCCTTTGTGGTCAGCGCCGTTTCTGCCGTCTCTTTGAGCGGATAACAGGGGAAGCCATTCATTAGGGCTGGGGTTTTTTTTTTTCTCGCTTTGTGCGCAGCATGCTGGCTCGCCTCTTAAAACATTTTGCTAAGGCCCTGACATTTCCTTGGCTGCGGGACACAGGCCCCCTTTATGTGTTCAACCGCTAGAAGGAGCAACGCAAGTCCCCGGCCGTTTGTGCGCCCTGTGGAAACGAGCGCAATCTAAAAAATCCTGAATCGATGGCCCTGTGTTTGGTTTTAACTAGCGCGAGCCGCCGCGTTGGCCTGGCAGGTCGAGCCACGGGCGACGCTCGCACCAACACGCGTCATCACCACCCCCCCCCCCCCCTCCCTCATCCCCCGGCGGTGTTTATTGCTGCAGTATTCATTACTCCCGGCTCTAAAAACCCTTTGAAAACAAAATAAACAGGAGCGTTTCGCATCCAATATTTTGTTATTTTCAAAATCGCCGACGGAATGCGTGCGCAAATATTGATCCCCTATTCCAACGCACGCAAGTTAGGGAATTCCGTGCGTCACAGTACGCATGCACGCACGCGTGTGTGTGTGCGAGCGTCTGGTCGTGCACGTGTGCGTGTGCACATAGGGGCAGCGGTAGTGTGGTGGTTAGTGCGCTGTGCTACCAACCTGGTGACCTGGGTTCGTTTGCCGCTCATGGCCAACACCAGTGACGATTATCTGAACCGGTCCTGGGCCTCCCCTACGTCGAGTCAGCCTCAAATGAGCACCTGGTGCAGTGTGTAAACATTGCCACGAGGGAGACAAAGGCGGACGGGCGTGGTGTTGGCCGCCCACCCCCCTCGTGTGCTGTGCCGGCCTTCATAGGTGCTCGCTAACAGCACTTGCCCCAACAGTCTGTCACGGGCTATGCGGGGGATCTTTGTCTTTGTGCGTGCGCACGGTTCCCTTGCTGCACATTGGGGAGCACAGGGGGTGCATCTTCCAGTCATCTCGGTCAAGCTGAAACACCTTGGGTCTTTTCCGTAACTTTCTCCTGCCAGCAAGCGGGCCTTCCATACGTCACCAAAAAACACTCAACACGATCGTCAATAACACTGCCTTAAAGTGAAAAATATACAATCGGCGACGTTTCAGGCAAATGACCCTCCTTCATAAAACAAAATGTATTGTTGGGCCATGAAGAACAGCCATTACCCCCAAACGTCACCGTTCGTATATATTTCATTTCAAGTGTTAGCGACGAACGTGTCGCGCCGTTGCCAATTGCACTCGTGCGCCACCGCGAACGCGGCAGAAGCATCGGCGAAACGATTCCCTCCGCTCTGCGCGTGGCCTCAACGCGCACCTAGCCTGGCACGAGCGTTGCCTCCGTCGCTTAGCTGCTGCTGCTGCTGCTTTTTGCGTGGCCCTCGCAGACGACTCGCTGGCCGAGCGGCCCGAGCAGGCACCGCACGCTGTGTGCCAGGCGTTCGGCGGGGAGTACTACGTGGAGGGACAGAGCTGGAGCGCCGACTCGTGCACCCAGTGCACGTGCCACGCGGGACGCGTGCTCTGCGACACCGAGGTGTGCCCGCCGCTGCTGTGCCACGACCCCGTGCGTGCCAAGGGATCCTGCTGCCTCTCCTGCCCAGGTACGCCCGCCCGCCCGCTCGCTCGTGGGCATGCCGATCCTCCGGGCCATGCGGAGTTTGTTCGCCGTGGGACGGCCCCACTGTGCGAGCCGCTGGTCGGTCGCCCACCCACCCACCCCAACCCCCCCCCCCCCCCGACCTCCTCCCCGGGGTGTATCACGGATATTTATCGTTAGTGCAAATTGGCAGAAAAATAATGGACACGTTTCTGATGGGCATTTAATTTCAGGTGCATTTTATGCAGTCGGTTTTGTTTTTCTTCAGCGCGTGAAATTTGCAAAACGATTTTCCCCCCATTCCGAACTGTTTATCGCGAGCGCGCCGCCGACAGCCGGCAACGGCGGGAACGGCGCGGCGATTTCCCTCGGCGGTGAAGTTGACTCTTCCAGCCGAGCGCGGAAATGGGATGGAACGGGGCGGCAGGGGGGGAGGGCGGGGGGTGGTGGTGCCCAGATGGGCGCGCGCACCGCAGAGCTTCCCCGCGCCGCGTGCCAGCTGGCGCTCCACCTGCAGGCAGCGCGGCCCGCCATGAAGTCCGCCGCCCGTGCACTCGCAATGCGCCCACACCGAGCGCCCCATACCCACGCCGCTCACGTAAACGGGTCGCGTGGGCGGCGCGGAGAGAGCGAGCGAGCTGCCGGGTGCGTGCGCTCGCTCTCCGGGCTCAATTGCGCGGTGCCGTACGGGACAGCCGTATTGAGTGTGTGGGTGTGTGGGGTGGGGGGGGGGGGGGGCGGGGGTTGATGGGCAGAGGGCCGGGGCGGCAGGTGTCGCTACGGGGCATGTGAAGCTGCGCGTCGAGCACGTGGGTCGAGCGGTAGCCACCCGGGCTCGATTGCGATGCAGCGTTTCCCCACGCCGCCCGCGGAATCCAAATCGCGTGCGTGACTTTTTGTCTTCCTTGAATTACATCTTGTTTTTACGTCTTTCACGCCAGCGGGCGCCTCGGAGACGCCGGCGCCGAACGGCAACGGGAGTAGCGGCGGCGTCGGCGGCGTCGCGCCGCAGTACTGCGTGTCGGAGGACGGAGACATCTTCCTGGAGGGCGAGGTGTGGAAGCCGAACGCGTGCGAGAGCCGTGTGTGCCGCGAGGGTCGCATCGTGCGCTTCGCGGAGCGCTGCCCGCCCGTCAGTTGCCGCCGGCCCGTCCTGCGCAAGGGACAATGCTGCCCGTACTGCCTGGGTGAGCGCCCGCCACCACCCTCCACCCACCCTCCACCCACCTCCACCCTCCACCCACCACTGAAACTGAAGGAAAGCAGTAGCAACGTGTCATCCGATAATGTGCTTAAGGGAAAAACAGGAGGACCCAGAGAAAAATCCACGCGACCATGGGGAGAGAGACACACGCAGATTCCAGATATACACCAGCAGGCGTCGGGGTCGGGATCGAACCCACGACCTCCTGCATTCCAGGCGAGGTAGTGAGTTTTTTGTTTGTTGCGGTTGCACTCGATTCAAGAGCCGAATGGCTCACAGGGCTATACCTAATAAATAAAACCGAAAACCGAAACTGAAACCACCACCACCCTTCACCAACCACCACCCTCCCTCCACCCACCACCACCCATCACCACCCTCCACGCACCACCCACCATCACCCTCATGCACCACCCTCCACCCACCAGCACCCTACACCCACCACCCTCCACCCAACACCACCATCCACGCACCACCCTCCACCCACCACCTTCCACCCACCACCACCCTCCACCCACCACCCTCCACCCACCACCCTCCACCCACCAACACCCTCCACCCACCCCAAACATCTCAAATGCAATACGATTGGGAAATGAAGGCAAAGGCGCAGCGCTGTAATTGCTCGCTCATGCTACCCGTGGCAGAAGGGCCTCCACGAGAGACTTTTTGGTCTACCCTTCCACAGATGTCTTGGGAGAGGTGGGAGTACCCACACTTGACCTCACCATACGCGACCTGCCCCGATAGACTAACTGCGGTGTACTTCTCCGTGCCGCCGGGGTGGGTAGCGGCTTGGTCGGATTTAAGAAACTTGCGCCGTTGTTTCGACCGCCGCGCCCGGGGAGTTGCAATGGAACCACCGGCCTCTGGGTCGCAAGTCCAGCGCCGCCGCTCACCGTCCCGCGACGGCGCGTGTCCTCTCGCCGTTGCAGAAGTGATCGTGCCGCTCAAGGTTTGCTACTACGGGGACCAGATCTACGGGGAGGGCGAGCGCTGGAGCCCCGACCAGTGCACGCACTGCCACTGTCGCAACGGCGAGGCCGTGTGCATCGTTGAGGACTGCCTGCGGCCCTCCTGCAGCCGCCCCGTCCGCCTTGACGGATCCTGCTGCCTCGCGTGCCCAGGTATGCTGCGTCGGTGTGGTGGTGGTGGTGGTGGTGGCGGGGTTGGTGGCGGTAGTGTTGGTGGCGATGGCAATAATGTCAGTGGTGGCAGGAGTTCCGGTAGTTGTGGTGGTGACGAAAGTGGTGGCGATAGCTGTGGTGGAGGTGGTGGCCGTAGTGGTGGTGGTGGCGGTAGTGTCACGAATGCGCAGGACATTATTGCAGAAGCTGAGAGTCGAGCTGCCCCGCATCTCTCGTGCTCTTTTGAGTTTTCCCGTTTGTGGGCAGGCGAACGGGGCGATTGTTGACGTACGGCCGCACGCCGCTCGCAGAATGTGTCTCTGAAAAGCTTAATGTGGAGCGCGGGGCGTCTCATTTCAGATGACGAGCTGCCTTCGGAGCCCGCGAGCGTGCCCGCTGAGAGGTCCAACGAAGTCGAGGCCATCACAGAGGACGTTCCCGTCGCTTGCGTCATGGGGCCGCTGTCGGAGGATTCCAGTAAGAGCCCACATCTTGTTTGGTGCAGGACTAATGTTCTTAATTCAAATCGCCTGGAATGAGTTTGATCTGGAAAGTGAGTGTATGGGCGACCACCCTAACAGATGTTGTGGGGCTGTGTGGCTGTGCGGCTGTGATGCTGTGGTACTGTGCGGCTGTGTGGCTGTGAGGCTGTGGGGCTGTGGGGCTGTGTGGCTGTGGGGCTGTGTGGCTGTGGGGCTGTGTGGCTGTGGGGCTGTGGGGCTGTGGTACTGTGTGGCTGTGAGGCTGTGGGGCTGTGTGGCTGTAGTGCTGTGCAGCTGTGATGCTGTGATGCTGTGGTACTGTGTGGCTGTGGGGCTGTGATGCTGTGGTACTGTGTGGCTGTGTGGCTGTGGTACTGTGTGGCTGTGGGGCTGTGGTACTGTGTGGCTGTGGGGCTGTGGTACTGTGTGGCTGTGTGGCTGTGATACTGTGTGGCTGTGGTACTGTGTGGCTGTGTGGCTTTGTGGCTGTGAGCAGCAGAGGGCAGTACAAAAATACACCTTTGCTCCCGTGCCTATGCTCCCCACCTTCATTGAACTCTAAACAGCACTGACCAGCATGGTCAAGTATGGGGTCAGATAACCCCCACAACCCCACATGGTCTTTGGAAGGCCTTCATCCGGCAGGGCTGTTCACGTTCCCAGCCGCGTTCCGTCACCGTGACGACGTGTGCTCGCTAGCGGCGCGCTACTGGTGCAGCTCTGCAGGGGAACTCTTGTTTATTATCGTGTGTCCATGCACGTGTCCCGACGCGTCCCCGACGTGTGCGTCCGTCTGTCTGTTTTACGTGTACACGCCACTCCAGACGAGTTGGGGTGCGAGCGTGCCGTGGACGGGGCAAGCGTAGACCGGCGCGGCGGCGGTGCCGGTGGTGCGGACGTGTGGCCGCTCTGGGTGGTGATCGGCGCGCTGGCGCTGGGTCTGCTGGTCGTGCTCGTGCTGCTCCTGCACTCGCGGCGGCGCCAGTGGATTCCCCTGCAGCTCTACAAGCCGCCCGTCAAGGCACGGCGCCCCTCCACACGCGCGCGGCGCACACGGGACGCGCCTCGCGCCTCGCGCGCGCGCCACGGTGGTCCATGTGACGCGCGCGGCGTCCGATGGTTCCCAAAGTTGTTGGGCCCGCTGCCCTCTCTCCGTCGACCCCGAACAAAATTGGTGGACCGCCGCGCACCAACGGCAATTTCTCGAGTTTGAAGCGACCCCAAATGGCCGCGTCTGCGGCGGGTATCGCGGACCGCTTTCCAGGGCCTTGCGGAGCACCCAGTGGTGTGCGGAGCATTGGCCAGGGGCCGCCAGCGAGCGAGAGACACTCCTCTCGTATGCAGGACGCGCGCGTAGCTCGCGCGATGGCGGTGAGGCCGTGGCACAGCGGCAGCACACCTAGCGGACGTTCACGGCTCGAATTTAGCCATGGTAACACTACGCGCCGTCTGTTTCGCATCGGACGTTAAAGATCCTGTGATGTCACTCGCAAGGGTTGGCCATCATTGCGTGCTCGCGTCGGGGTCCACATGCCCAGAATCGAAATTTACCTGCAAATTACTCAATCGGGATTATACAGGCAGCAGCAATTGTTGCCCCCTACTGGCAAATTAATTCTGCGGGTTACTCTTGCAAATGAGACTCTCTCCTGGTCTCTCGAGTTCTCACTGGGTTAAACAAAATTAACTTGAAACTTGGACTGTTCACATAACACGTGGAAGGAAACACATGCGAAGCGGGTGTTCTCGAATCCATGCTTTCCACCTCCTGTCTCTGAGTCTAATTGCAAGCATGCTTCTCTCCATGCGCACTCATCAGCTTCGATCTATGGGACCTTTTTTGCTGGAACCAACTATAGACACCTATTGTAAGCTTTTGTTCCAATTCCATCTTGATGTCCACGTTTCTGTTTGATATCTCAATTCATATTACAGTATCCCCTTACTCGTTTATCGTCTTTTTCCGTGTCCGCAGACGGTCTACCTGAACAACGACCTGGACAAGAACACGGCCGCCACCGCCACCACAGCGGCAGCGGCAGCAGTGGTAAAGCCGCCGCTGAACAACGCGGCCAAGGTCCAGCGCCTGGCAGAGCCGGACCCTCGCTACAGCGGCTACTACAGCATGATCAGCCCCAGCGGCGCCAGCGTGTGACACAGCCGCGCATCCCGGCGACCCCGCGACCCCACGCACCCCCCCACCGGAGCCACGGACTTCGCCCTCCAGGCCTCCTGCCGGCCGGCGGAGGGTGCCCTGCCGTCTCTTGCTCTTCCCAGTGCTTGACTCTTCTGCAATGTGCACTTTCTGCTGCCCTCGAAGCCCCTCTTCCCCCGATAGCGCTTTGTAGATAATTCTGCAAGGTTCAAACAAAAATAAAAACGATCGACATGGAAACAAAATTATATAACGTTTTTTTATATAACGGTCAACCCCGTATGATTTCCTAGAACTGCGTCATCGCAGTCACTCTCGTCCACATTTTCAAGAAGATAAAAAAAAATTATTCTCATCATCGGGAAAATGAATGCCGATTTTGTCAGCCAGCTTGGGCGACCTCAGGCGAGACTGTTGGGACAGCTCATGCCTGTGTTGCTCAGCTGATGGCTGTGTTGTGCGGCTCATGGCTGTGTTGCTCAGCTGATGGCTGTGTTGGACGGCTCATGCCTGTGTTGCTCAGCTGATGGCTGTGTTGGGCAGCTGGAGCGTTGGGACCTTGGGCCGTCGGAGAGTGGGCAGCATGGACGATGGGTGGTGACGTCACAGAGAAGACGGACAAGGAGATCGATTTGTTCGAAATTCGTTACAGCCGTCGAGAAAGCCTTAATAGCACCTTTTTCAATTTAGCTTATAGATTTGTTTTGTCTTGCTTACTCTTCATATTTTATTTTTAAAAAAGCACTATATAGGATGTGATAATGTAAATATCTGACGTTCATAGCAATGTCTTTTTGACTTCGTTTTTTGTTGAGATCAAGCAGAGTTCTCATGATGTCAGTACACGTGGTGTTCTTGGGCGGGCCGTACCAATTCAGAGATCTAATACTATTGCTGCATTGTCGCAAACACGGTGTTGTTTATATCCAAGTTATAATTTTGTTTTTCATGAAAGGTACTTGCACTGCTCGCAGGTTTAATGTTGGGCCATTCCAGAACCCCAAGTGCCGCCCGTAGCTTAGATCTTCTCGTTAACTCAAACGGCGGTCGACTTCCTATAAGTTATTGCCACGTCGCTCGTTAGAACCCATGCTGATGAGTACACAGTGAGGTGAAGCCACAAGTTCGTCAATGTGTAGGCTGACGAGCCTCATCACAGCCTGATGAGGCCAGTCGGAAGAAAATTGACTAACTTTTTAATTTATTATTTTATTTTAAAGTAATGTTTTATTTTATAAATCCAGTTTTTACATTCTGACACATACACACACAGCTTACTCTGTGTTAAAATTGATTAGGCTCTGGTGTCATCAGTCGCAATCAAGTATCACCACTCGACGTACAAGATGCAAAAGGAGATAATGTCAGACGGGGAAAGAAAGAATTGTCATGAATGAATGTATCTGCCTTTCTGAGTTATCTCTCTCCCAAAGTATCCGTTCAGGCATTCCATGTGGCTTGTGCTCTCTGTTTCTGTACAGGTGTATTTTTGTCGGCTCGTGTGTGTCGCGCTGTTTGTTAATGCTTTGGCAATGTTATTTCTATATTTTTAATAACAGAATAATTATAAAGCTAATGTACTAAAGAACTAAACTTTAATGTAATTAAGTATAACTGGAGCTAGTTGCTGACTTATTTAGTTGTTTTTGATCGCTCGGAATACAGATAATGAAAGTGTATTTTGTTTTTATATATATTTTTTATTGGCTGGAACATCTTGCCTTGAATTCCGCAAGGCGATCATGGAGAAACCTTGTTTGGGGCTGAATATGAACGAGACAGAAACGAAGCGATACGCTGGCACTTTTGTTCACGCGTTTCGAGTGGCAGAGCGGCGCGCCACTGCCCGCGGTCCCACCGGCAGAGTGGAGCACAACTGCCCGCGTTCCGGGTGGCAGAGCGGCACGCCACTGCCCGTGTTCCGCGTGGCAGAGCAGTGCGCCACTGCCCGCGTTCCAACTCAACGCAACTCGCGAGGGTGCCCGCCAGGGGAGGCTGTCTCGAGCGTCAGCGTGGACGGATGCTCGCTCTACAAGTTGCTGTTGGGTCCCTCAACTCTCTGAATAAGCCCTAATTTATATATTAAACATTAAATCTAAATAGTAATTTATTAATCTCATGGTCGTGGCGATTAGGTTGGAAACAACTGGGAGGTTTCCTCTGCTGTTGCTTGTGTTCAGAATTCCCCAAAGCCGGCATAGCCACAGTCTGCTGCTGCTGTTCCTTGTTACGAACGGTTTCGTTTCAGCCGGAGCTGTCCGGGGCAGAGCTCCAGATAATATTTCAGGCTCCTGGAATTTTTGGGTTCGAGTCCCCCAGAAAGCATTCCATGAGAAATGAAGCCCTGCTTTTGTAGCTACGACTGTCTGCTCGAGTTAGACAACATCAGCCAATGATTTTCTGAGTCTTCAACCAAGCACGGCCAGACCGGAGATCGATTTTTGTGCAGTGGGCCACAGGGATGGGTTATTAACTTAAATAAGAAACAATAATAGTGATGCCCATAGTTTACCCAGGAAGGACTTGCCGAGTCTCAAGGTGCTCTTTCAGGAGGGTCCTTCTACATTGAGATGTTTGGCCATTTCCGTGAATGAGACTTTGGCTTCGTATGGGAGGTAACCAACCGAGCAGAGTCCATTCTGGACATACCAGGAGGTAACGGTGAACACTCGGCACAGATGTATTCAACAATCAACGTCTTCAAGGCAGCGAAGAAAATGAGTTAAAACTTAGAGGGCACGATGCATTTTAAGGATGATGTATCACCGTGTTTCTTTTCTAAGGGAACTGAAACTACAATACTCGCTCAGTTACGTCGGGTGGAATGTTGTCTCTGGGGTTTGTGGTAGCAGGGCCCAAAACATTACAGCTCAATGAACCTTCCATGTCGATTACTCTGGAAGGATGAGCTGTGGGCGTTGTGTAGCAGCGGGCTCCCTGACGGCAGCGAGTCAACATTGGGTCGCGTGTCATTCGCTCCATTCTGTGTGTGTGTGTTTATAAAAAGGGTCCGTGCGGGGGCAGCCGGGTGGGTCAGAGGTTGGAACTCTGAGCTGGCACCGCTGGAGATCCCCAGTTGGAATCTGGGCAGCCGACCTGTGATGGAACCGGCTTCTCGGGTCTCGCGGCGAGTTGATGGCCTCAGCCTGGTCACCAATGACTGCACGAACGAACGATCACATTAACTGGGTTTGCACTGAATTTGGGGAGCAACTGTGGTAGGTTTTGGCAGTGATCCTGTACGCATGGGCCACCTTAATCAGACTGAATTGCAAGTCTGACAATGCGAAACATTGGTTTCACTGACAAACATTGCTGTAGCAGGGCAGGTGGAAAAGTGTTGTCTCCTCCTATGGATAAACAGGGATTTCTGTAGTTATCTGATATCCACTTCCACGGTGGGGCGGGGGCATGCTCTATCATGCGGTGTCTCACTGCTCTTCAACAACAGTTGACGGATTCTTGGTCTCATCACCCGATGTCGATAGGGGGCAGTGGAGAGGAAATCGCGTGTGCGTCGGAGGAGGAGTGGGTGGGGGGCAACATGAAGCTATTAAAAATAAATTAAATATCTTGTACAGAGATTTATTGCCATCCTACATTGAAAGCATACCGTTTAAGTCCCGTTTTGAAAAGAAGAAAAAAATCCAATTATATTAAAAAAAAATCCAACGAGGGATGGTGTCAACGATCAAGGCCTGATGTGAGGTCTCCTTTTCGCCGCTTTTGCTCCACGCGATGAGGGGGAGGGAGCCCCCCCCCCCACGCCGCTCTGCCACTCCCCTGGGTGTCCGTGCTGGCGCGAGCTGTGGGCCGCCCGCGTGGAGAGCGTGATACTTCGGCGTGGACGCGGGCCGAGAGCGTGTCACTTGCGCGTGACACTTGCGCGTGACACTTGAGCGTGACGACCGCGTGTGACACTTGCGCGCGACGACCGCGCGCTCGGCAGGGGGCCTGTAAAAGCGTCGCTTCTGTAGAGCACTGTAAATTGCTGCGAACAGCACAAATAAAACGAAACGTTAATTTCCACAGGAATCTCCAGTCATTTGTTTTCTGCGACGTCCGACTTCGCTTCCCTTGAAATGTCATTAACATTACAGGAACGTTCACTTGAATACCGTGAAAATTGTTACCATACTCTTGGATGCCATCGCAGTTGTAGTTGAACAATGGGCACGCAATTACCTTTTCCTATCCTGTTTCTGCCGTGTTTATTTGAGTAAAGGAGCAAGTTAGAATCAATGCCAGCACTGCTAGTTGTGAATGCTAAATACACTTCATCGGCGCAATCTTTCACAATCGCCGTCTCGGGACTGCAAAATGTTCGCCCACGATTGTCAAATCAAACGTTTTCCATTGTCCACAGCAGGCGCGGGCTGGGAGGTAGCCGGGCAAATCGGCACTGTTGAACGTGTGCCCTCCGGGTTTTTTTTGGTTTCTCGCAAAGTTTTCGGCTTGACTCCCACGCGAAGCTGTGGGTGGCAGCGCCTCGCGTGGCCGTGGGTGGAGCGCTTCGTGCGTCTGGATGGGGGCGCCTTGTATTATTTTTAAGAATGTTTCCACTCCGTCGCAGCAATCGGAATGGATCGTTCACACGTGGTGGTGCGCTCTCATCACAGTCCACAATCACACGGTGCTCAATGGAACGTACTTGTGTATCTCGGCACGGTGCCAGTTGTGTACACTTTTGCCACCAAGAACTGCCCATCGGCGGTTTAGCAAATTCGACCGAGTTTAGATATTTTGACGGAGGGTTTTTTTTTGTCCAGCCGATCACATGGCGTGGGAACCCGGCAGAGGATCGTGTGAGGGTGGCGTCTGGGTCAATGACAGTATTACAATGGCAGTTGTGGATAATACTTCATGTTTGGCTATATCCCCAGAAAACGAACTGTTGAAAAAAATGAGATGCAATGTAAAAGAATGGTAGCTTCAGACTAGTGAATAGACATGCATTGGGGTGACAAACGCTTTTATAAAAAAAAAAACTGAACACGACCTTCGTAACAATTTGGCCTTTAAAATTTGAAAATATAACGTGACGTTTCAGGAAAATTTGCCATTCTTCATAGCACACACATGACAGAGAACTGTCTGCAGAAGCAGATATTACAAAACCAATGATGTCAATCTGAGCCAATGTGTTCTGCTGAAACCAACAAGCACCCATCCGCTGGACGTGACCATCCATCTCTTCCACGAGTCCTTTTGAACCTTCGCAGACAACGGAAACCAACGTTCTCTCGCTGCCGGGACGTATCTAAAACACTGAGCATGCGCGTCGCTCTTGGCAACGACCGGCAAACAACAACAACAACAACCAAAAACCTCGCAAGGGGGAGAGCGAGCCGAGCAAATGCCACCGCGGCGTGGCCTTCGTGCCGCCGCGGATCTCCGAGTGCGCCCGTGTCGGGCCCGGGTCTTGGTGACGAGTCTGCGCCTGGAACGTCGTGGGAAGACGCTCTCTGTGCCTCTCACCGCGGCGGGATGAAAGGGGCGGCGATTGTTTTCCCTGGTGGCCGCTTTGCGTTTACAGCGCTCCCCCTCTGCATGAGAGCCGCGCCGTTCTGATCTCATCGCGTTTTTTTTTGCGCTAAAGCCGGGGGGGGGGGGGGGGGGGCAAGGCGTTTCGGTAATGTGGAGCAGACGCTTGTAGGAGACTAGAGAGAAGTTCGCACGTAAACGCCGTCCCTTGAAGAATGCAATTTAGCCAAGTGAATTCCTGTGAGATGGAGAATTTAAATATCGCCTCGGTACACACATTAGGTAAGACTTACCAACCCTGCTAGGCTTACCAGCCCTGCCACGTTAGCACAATAAACGAACAGCCAATATGCCCCCTTCACATATCCGTCTCTGCATATACAAAAATAAAAGTATTTATTTCACAACGGCCTTTAGGAGATCACAATTTCAGCAGCGTTCATTCAAGACGAGAAAAACTCCAGATCGGTTTGGCCACGCATTAAAATACAGAATATATTTGAAATCTGTAAAATATTAAAGTGACGGGAAAAGCCATTATTAACAGAAACATAGTGCATGCAGCAACACCATAACTTTCAAACAAGACAAAATGTGTGTTCAAAAAGCACACAACCATCGTAGTGCCTTCTTGCCCTGGTGAACATCTCAAGCGTTTCAGATGTTCACCAGGGCACTCGTGAAGCCGTCCACTGGCTCACTCGCCAACCTTGACCTGCACATAAGAGGCGCTAAATCATAGTAGCGCTGTCTCCAACTGGCCTTTGCTTAATTATTCATTTACTCCTCTGTCTCTTGGTGTAATTGTCAGCACGCACATCTTCACGTTTCTTGGCACATGTTTATACTTTTGTTTCAATTTCGTTACCTGTCTCCATGTATTTGATCCACGCCATTACAGTTCATATGCAATGATTGAAATGCGGTATTCTCCTTGAGCCACATTGGTTTACTTGATCAAATTCATTGGCAAATCCAGTTTTTTTCATACCTAAATAGCATCTGCCTTCATAAAGAAGAGCTCTGTGGAAACCAGATGAGGACTCCCTACATTGGCACCCTTACATTAGGCCACTATTCTCACCAATCGATGCCTCTCAAATGCTTAAACACAAGAAAGAAAAAAGGTGGTTGGGTGGCTAAGAGGTCAGAGCGCTGATCGGGCACTGCTGAGATCCTGGGGTTCAAATCTAGTGTCGTCTCAGTCCGGTCACGAATTACTTGCTGAAATCGAACACCACATTACATTTGAGTTGATATTACTCTCTTATGGCAGAGTGGGTGGGAAAGTGATGCCCCCTTACTGAGTGTATCACGTCACTTAAAGGGATCTTAGAAGTAGCTCCGTTATATCCGCTTGGATCATTCTCCAACACGAAGGGTTGCCCTGCTCTGCGAGAGACCGATATGAACACTTCTTACCGTGACATGCCCGTAATCACCTCCGCGAGCACGGTTGGGTACGTACGGTGCGAAAGAAGTTCAACATGCATGCAATCAAGGTTCAATTCCGGAGCTACAGGAATACGAGCACTTAGTCTCCGTTGGACCGCAAATCACCTGCCGCTCGTACCCATCAGCCTCACCCGAGGTCTAAAGGGACCGCGCGTAAACCCTGCAAACGACGCGTGTGCTTCGGCAGAGTGGGGCGACTCTGCTGTGTGTTCGCCGTGTGTTCGGGCGGCTGACTGCCTAATGGCACGCACACGGCCACTAACAAGGAGCAGCTGTGCGCATTCCTGAGTCCAAAATAGCCGCTTTGAGGAGCGGGGATGGGGGAGCTCACTGGAGGTGTCCCGGCGAGACGCGCGCACGAAGTTTTTTGTGATCCGCCAAACCGATCTCTCGCTCATTTCGGGACTCCTTTGGCGTTTCGATTGTTCTTCGTCCCACGTGCGTTCTAAATTAGCATAGACAACAACAAATCCCCCGCAATAACAACGCGCACTTGTAAAGCCCCCCCCCCCCAACCTTTGTCAATCCACTGCCGGAATGCGAGTGTCCCCGGGCAGGTGCTGCGAGTCGTGGCGATCGTTTCGGAGTTGTTCACCATGTGGCTTGACCACGCTCGACAGTTACGGGTTGGCGAAGGCGGCAGCGGAGAAGCACAGCAGCACAGTAATTGACTCTGTTGCAGCGCCCTCTGCTGACATCGTAGCCTCACAGTAGCCTGACGATGTCTGTGTTATTCGCGGCGGTCGCCCACCCTAAGTACTATCCAGGCTCAATCTCACTTACAATCCAAGATTTGGGCATATTCCGGTTGATTTGGTCAGATGTAGGACGAGGGTTTTTTTAGTATTCCAGATTGCAACTGTGTACGGTTTTCTCTCTTTTTGGAAGCTCTGCAGAGTTGGCTTTTACTTTACCGGATTGGAGTTGGAATGGGTCCTCAGCCAGACATTCCAGCTCAGACATTTCACTTCTAGGAATATCCTACGGGGCCTCAGTTAGGCCCCACTAACCAAAACATCCCGGCTTCCAGAGCCATCTCACGTGGTCTCACACCGTGTCAACTCATACGGTCTGTCCGTATTTTTGAATAGGGAAGTTTAGTTTTCAGGTCCACGCGGCATACAGCCGTTTCAATCCGGACAATAAAATGTCTATTTGTTTGTGTTCTCTCTTGTCATGAGACTTTGTAGGATGAACGTTGGATATTTTAAGGGCACGGGGTGACCAATAAGACCTGAATTGGTATGTATTCAGGTAGGCACCAAGGGTTTGACAGGTATACAGTCTCAACCAGGCTCTCGAGCCTGGAGGAATTGTCTTCACGGCTGGGAAATGTGGCGCTGACTCCTGGGCTGTTCAGTGGTGAAGCGAGGTGCAGGTTTTATTTTATATCCAGGCATTTACTTTGACACATGCCTCTTCTACGAGCCCAAATACTAATACACATCTCCAGATGTACTTGTACCACGTTGTTTGAAGGGTGGTCACCATTTACGGTGCAGGTCTCCTGTTAAAAAAAATAGTATCACAAGGGACTGTCACTCGGTTATCAACTTTCAGCACGTGTTTGCATTTTAAAACTCTTAACAAGACAAAATAAAATGGCGATACAATTTAGAGAAATTAAATACTTTGTTCGCATTTAAGCGTGGCAATAAACCCCACACTTTACATCTTTAACGGACTTTAACAACCAAAAGACCACGTTTATAATGGAGTTGTCAACAACTTCAGACTTGCAATATCCAGACTTGCAGTGTAGACCAACAGCGCCACCCACAGAGCATGCATCAGCACTGCACTACCAATGAGAGGAGCAGAGCCGACACGTGATTTTGTGACTTATTTCGTCAGATTTCACTTATGAGCCTTCGAAAAGCAGAGCGTCAGGGCGGCTACCATGTGTAAAGGAGCACGAGTAATCGGCCACCCCACATCCCAGAGTTTGTTTTATTGTGGGACGCCCATGGAGGGCTTGGTGTGATTGTGCCCTCCAGGGCTCCCAGGCACCGCTCACGTCCAGCTTGGGCTATTAGGGCACCGTGATGTATGACTTGAGATGGCAACTGTTTGAAGTCTTCATCCAGCAG